CCCTTGATTTAAAAGGCAGAAAGAATGCATGGAGAAGGCGGGGTGTACATACCATAAATTGCAATTTTCTTTGTATGTCTGCCCCGTCAAGAACGTGTTTCCATTTCTTTCACAGGTGCCTGAGAAAAGACAAAGAGTGGCAATTTAATATACGCAGGTTTGATGTGGCTAAACAATAAAGATCCTACCGCTAATCTCAACAAAAGCTACGCACAGTCTCAATCACGGAGACACAAATGAGACACGTACTGTACACGGAGGCTTAAAAGCACACATACACACTTGATATTAATAACACAGTAACCACATTCTTTCACTTGCAACCACAGTAAAAGTTAACAGCGACTAGTCTTAGCAGTAACACACAGAATATGTGAGGTCTAAGGAGCTCTAAGCCAGTAATCCTGTGTAGGAATGTGGCGTTAGCTTCTTTCCTGCCTTCCCAGGCTTCCCGGGCTCTCGTCATGCTTTAACCAGCTTACGCTCCACTGCACCAACTCTACTGAGACAGCGTGGAAAGCCCCCACTTCCATCTATAATTAAACATCAAAAATTTTACAAAATTTGGGAGTTGCACACCCTGCGCTGTCACGGCCCCAAAAGTGGCCCATCTTACTCGACTGTTAAAACGTTGGTGTTTTGGTGACAAGCTTACCTAAAGTGGAAGATGCTGTCAGAGGGGACTCCATGTGGAATTTAAGGCATAATCTGGCTGAGAATTTACAGTGTGAGCAAGTTTTCCCGGCCTCTGGTGTGAGGCCCCGTGCTGACAGTGTGATCTATGACTGATGCTCTCACAGCTGTCTCTATCGTAATTCAAATTACTGCAAAGCTTCGGCAAGTGGCAAGTTACACATTAATACAGAAGGAATGTGTGCAGACTGAACATATGCAATGTTACCGTGACATTTTTTGTATAGCATTCCTTCAGCGCAGACCGAGTGAAAAAACAGTAGCAGTTAAGAGGAAAGACCCATCATAACAAGGTGTCTTTCCGTGGCTTCCCTCCATGCTGACTGTGTGATCAAACATGCTTGCGTGCACATGCTTGTACGTCGGACCTCCTGGGTGCCAAACCTTATCGAGCACGGCCCACATACCTGCATCGACCTCTCTAACTTTGTAGTCCTGTACCCATTGTCTGGCCGCATACCCCACATTCTTTCTCCTGACCTCCATTCATCCCTCTGCACACCCCTCCTCCCACCGTCTCGGTTAATAAGAAGCCTACTGTTCCCTACGCTGCTCTCAGGTAGCCCTTTGCCTTTGCTGGCACATTTCACACTTCGGCAGAGAGGATGGTGCTAGAACTGTGAGGGGAGTCCAAATGTAGTCAACCAACCAGTAACACAGGTGAACGAACAGGAGTTTAATCTGCAATACAATCAGATGCTATATGTAGATGATTTAAGGGACAGGGAACGTACAGATAATTATTATGTATGCTGAAATATAGTTTGACTTTCCTGTATTATTATTATTATTATTATTATTATTATTATTATTATTAGTAGTAGTAGTAGTAGTAGTAGTAGTAGTAGTAGTATTAAATCCATTATATTAATACTGTTGTTTACCCTCCCACTCTGTGATTAATCACACAGAGACATTAGAAAGATCAAAGGTTTCTGTCCAAGTAAGAAACATTGGTATGATCACTTCATATAAATGCAGTAACAAGCTGAAGCTTTTAAAAGAAGGTTAAAATGAAAGCAGGTATGCAATTCTAATCCATTTTCAGCATATTAGGGGCGTCACGCTGCTTTCCATCGTGGCCCAGCGTGGAGCTTGTCAGTGGGGTTTCCTGCAGCTCTCTGACAGAGTTTAACTAACAAAGACATGCCTACACGCTCACACACATGGCTGCAACACTTTCTGATGCCCCCCAAAACACATTTGCACCTTCACATACCAATGAAAGGCGGCTGCACGCCAAGACAGTGACCCCAGAAGTCGGGGCAGCAGTCGGACACCGTGCGGTTGCAGAACAGGTCACAGTAGCAGATTGTGTCCAGGTACGGCACGGTGCACAGGTCGTCCCTGCCAGGACAGCAGCCTCCTCGTCTCTGGCAGTAGGAGCCGAATGGGTCTCTGATGCCGCCAACATGAAGTGGACTGGCAAGCTCCCTCTTGGTCCTTCTGGAAAGGATTCTGTCTGCAGTGCCTTCTCCCACCACCAGGAGTAGCACGGTCACAGTCAACAGGATGAGCTTCATGATAAACCTGCGACAGGGAGAGGGCAGAAATTTAACATTTAAGAGTTGTGGATAAAGTCAGTGTTATCCAAGGCATACCTCTGTATGATGCTCAAGAAGACACACTTAAAATGCTCTACTTTGCAGGGGGAAGAGCAGCAGAGTGTAGCAGAGTAATTGGGCATTACTGCTGCCAACTTCTGAGCAGTTCATATAAACACTGAGGCACACACACATGCACGCACACACACATGCACGCACACACACACGGCAGATAAGTTTAAACAGACTTGGCAGCACATGGTTTAAATAGAAACCCATGTGATCCTTGGAGATTGTCTATTTATTTCCTCAACTTTCCTTTTAAACCGCCAAGACAAACAGCAGCTAAATATGAAAATACACACAGCGTGATGGAAAACATCGTCTCAGTGGCAAAAGTTATGTTATCAAATATGTTGAACGGTGCATGATGGGCAGGTTCTCGGACATGTCTATATGCACATGTAATATCCTCAATGCCCAGGTTTAGTCTGTTTGTCCCTGCTCAAGGTCTCTGGATTATTAAAGGTCAAACAATCCCACGCATTGTTTTTTTGTTTGTGTTGGTCTCTGGTCACTGGATAGGGGAGTCTCTGCAGGGTCGGACCAAGAGGAGGGCTTGCCTCCGCTGCTTACATAAACAGCATCATTAATTATCCAATCAGATCTCTCGGCACAATGGACCCTGTGCACATAAAGCACAGCTCCGGAAAAGGCCTTTGCTCTGCTGTTTTCTGCATGACTGTGCCTTTACTTGGTGCATACACACACAGACACACACACACACACCACACCCACATACACAAAGTAACATATGGCAGCATGGGATGGGCAGGTCTTGTCCTTTACACAAGTGTTTTGTTGTGTCAGACTTTGAGCAGCAGTGCAATAAAACACCAGCCAGTCTGCTCATCATGCTGGTGATGTCTTTAGGTCAATCTAAAGCTAAAACAAAACTTCTGCAGAGATCATAATGCAGTTGTCTTCAGAAGCTCTTCTTTATCATCTGTAGCTTCTTTACACATATTAAATTAGATTGTTAAGCTATAAGAAAGTATTTTGCTCAATTGCTTACTTAAACGAGACAGTATTTATAGATTTAGTCCATATTACTGTGTAAAATATCCTTTTAACACCCAATATTTCAATCATACGATCCTGAGAAAAAGATCTTAAAGCTTTCAGTAATGTCACAGATGGCATATGGTCCATCAGGGCTCCAGACAGCTGTAGCCAAGCTACTGATCCTCCACTTCAGCTACAGGACAGATGAACCCTCAGTAAGGGTTACCCGCTCACTTTCTAACACACACACTATAGCGCATGGACACATAACACAGTGGCAGATGAGACATGCGGAGTCAGTGTCAGCAGCTTCAGGACCACGGTTATGAACAGTGAGTTCATAAATCTGAGCAGTATTTCATTCCATGGTAGCACTTTTTTTTTTTTTTTTAAAAATGGGAACATTATAAACCACAAATACATTAATGCATCAACATACTTTTCATTTTTATGCTTCACTGCTAATGAACAAGAAATTAAAACCTATCATCCAGTGATTTGTGGTGAAAGTAACTCATACAACCTTTTCAGTAACAAAGCAAAAGAACCTCCAGGCTAGAAATATTTTTTAAGAAAAAACACACACAAAAAACCCAACAACAACAACAAAAACATAAAAACAAGGGCCAAATCTTGAACTGTAATTAATGTGAACCAAACTTTTAGCTGTTTACACACCTCGATCACTTTCCTTCCCAAGACTGAACTTTGACACATTGTTGCAACACCCAGCAGATAATTCATTCTTCAGTGTGTCTCTATAAAAGCCCTCTCAGCACCATTTTTACTCTGTTACACAGTCCTGACTATGCTCTCAGCTGTTTGAAAAAACTAAAAAACACCAAGCTCGATTTTTAAGGGGGAGTGGGTTGGATCATGTATAACACCTTACAGGTGTCCAGTGAGGACTGCACCTCAGCAGGTGAGTGAAGAGATTACTGGTGTCTGGAGCGGCCACTCCACCTGAACCCAACAACCCTCCATTAAAAAAAAAAAAAAAAAAGACAAAACAGCCTTCCGTTGATATTAAAGTAGCTCTAATGTGCCCAACACACCCTTAAGATACATATGTCGTAACAGAAAAGGCTTGACTAACCAATGCTCTGCAAAAATCTAAGTAATTATACAGAGAAAGACTAAAAACATTGAGGGTGATGACAATCCTCTGAAAGAGAGCTTAAAAGTTTCCTCTTCTTCTGTTTAAAGTAACTTGATAATAGTGTAAGCCAGACTGTGACGCTCAGGCTGCACCTGCCTGACAGCTGCTGCTGAAAAGTGCAGAGAAATAGAAACTGCTGTTACCTTGAGTTTAGAGAGAAATCCTGGTTTTGTAATCCAGTAAGAAACAGCTTTTTTGTTGCTGGTGTGCTGCTCAGGAAGTCCCTCACAGGTAGAGAGAGTTTAGGTAAAAGGTCAGGCTCCTTTTCTCTGTTCCAAACTCTCTCACAGGATCTGCTCTGTCAGTCTCGGTCTTCTCTATATACAGGCAACAAGGAAGCGTAACCACTCCCCCCTCCAGCCTCTGGCTTGTCCCCTGCTTCACTGCCTCTCCCTCAGCAGCTCACATTCACGCACTTTTGCCTTTCCCTGTGACTCCCACAGGTTGACTATCTCTGCATGCTTTTCCTCTTCTTATCATACTGGAGCCTGCATAGTGAACTGGCTTGCACTCGGGCACATCTCTGTTCATCTTCTCTCATATTTTCTTCCCACTGTCGCTATCAGTAGCCATGACTTCCCCCTTCTTTATCTGCGACTTTTCCCCACACAGGGCCAAATCCACTTGAGGTGGGCGCCATTGCACGCCCCCTAGCGGTCGCAGGTTGAGTAGCTCCACCTATCAGCCACGAAATTATGGAGGAGCCAGAGAGAAACCTCCCATCTTCTAGAAAGTTACAGATGAGTCTCTGGAGATGCGATTTTGGTACGCATTGTCGGAATGTGAGAAATATTGCGGATGTTTTTTTGTAAGATGATGAATCTGTTTTTATCATCAGCCTCTTGTTTTGTAACATCTCCCCCTTTCCAAACAAAATAATTTCAGTGAAGGAATTTGATTTATTAAACAAATGAAATTTATGTCTATAAAAAGTATTGTGTGGTTTTCCTGAGCAGTGAACACAAACATGACACATTACACAGCTGCAGTGAGTGAATGACAGAGAATATCAGCTGTCAAATGTTTAACCCTCTTCTATATTTGGTAACCAGTGTGCTGAAAGTCAGCTTTCCTTAAGTTTATGAAAGTACATAAATGACATAAATGCTTCTGCAGAAGAAGACTGAATAAGGTTTTACTGAAGTGTTGCCATGGCCCAGAAAGACCCAGCTGACCACTTTTGGGCTGATCAATAAGCTAAAAGCTGAATCAATAACTGTGACACCACATGGTGCTGGACAGGGTGGGTGAGGCTTCCCCAGAAAATGAAAGAAAACACTGAACACCCAAAGGCTATGCTTTGCTTTGCATACATTTATTATTGAATATTTAGAAAAACAAATGAAAACATTGCTTTATTACTTAAAAATATTCCTAAAACATATAATCGTTTCCCATTTATTAAGTAAAAGAAAAGATAAATCAAAGAACCTTCTATTAGTACATTAACAACTACTAATATAAAATATAATATACAATATAATAATAATGATGCCTGTTAGCTACAGAGCCGCTGCTTGCTGCCAGATGAAGCAGGTAACTACTTAGAGCTCCAGGCCATTTTTTAAGGGTTTGGGACTGATTTAATTAAAAGTACAGCAGTGGCATGTGTAAAGTTTTCTGTGACAATAGGAGAGCCCTGACCTCCCTAAGGAGGACATTCCAGCTGCAAGTGGCATGTGTGATTCTGTTTACACAAACCCAATGACAAAAACAAAAGCTATTCAGTGAAAAATGAAGAGGAGTGATCCATCTGGGAGTGAGAAAGAAAGAGGGACAACAGAGGAAGAGGAGAGAAAAGCGAGACAGAGGTGAGCGAAGGAGACAATAATGATTACATTTAAGGCTAGATAACTAAATGCTGCTAGTTTAGCCTTTACTGTGGAGGAGAGACGCTCGCGTGTACGGAGGAGTGTTGGAATGAATGTGAGGCTGTATGTGTGTCTGCAAGCTGGAACATGTTAAATCTGTGGTCTTATTCAAACTGTGAAACACTGTAACTATATGATTTTTAATAGTGCCATACAAATAAAGTTATTATTATTATTACCAAAATAAAGAATAAATGGTCTCTGCCATTTATAGTGTACTTTTTACATGTTTTTTCATAAGACTCTTCTTGTTGTTGGTAATGTTTGCATCAGGTTACTTACTAAATAAATGTGGTGAATG